TCTTCGATATGCCGACGCGTGTGTGGGTAAAACTGAAATGATTGAAGAAAAAAAAATTTAAAAAAACTGAAAACCAAAAGAACATCGGAAAAATGTCTTACGAAGTATAATAAATTTATGCGTTCATCGACATATGACTTAGTAAATTACGTATATAAATGTATAAACGCACAAATGTATTTGAAAAAACATTACTTCATATAAATACAACTTTGAGTTGAACGTATATTTGATATACAAGTACTGAGTTGTAAAAACAGTACAATAAGTTTACAGTAAATTTAAATGGTTCAAATTGTTCATTAATATTTTATCTTGAAATTTGGACTGTACTATTAGACATTTTCTTACGTTTTCAAACGTAAACCTGTGACTGTTATTTAAAAGTAAATATTTACTTACTTAACGAACACTAGACTATCATAATTTGTTAGACGTTTGGACAATCAATAAAATAAATACGTAGCATAAAATAAGATAGATGAGTAAGTATGATTAACCTTTTATAGTGTTTAAAACATACATTTTGCTAATATATGCTCTTCTTCTTTTGTTAACAGCCCAAAGACTGGTTGGCAGCGATTTTCCACTCTTGACGCTTCTCCGCTTTCCTTTTTAATTCGTAATCAGATTTGCAGTTGTTGTTTCAATCATATTAGGCATCAGTTTTTTCACGGAGGAAAATCTGGTTCCGTTGTAGGAATAGTGACATTCCAGTAGGTTAAAAAAATACAAACTGACGAAAAAAAACTGACAAACACAAAACCTGTACAATAACTGTAATAATTATAATAATTGTTTCTTCATCCATTTGATCAAGGTAACAAAAATAAAAAAATAAAAACCAATTTTTCCAATTCTACCTTTACACGGACAACAATGGCCGTATTGCAAAATTCACGTAAAAAACGGTCCAGTAGTTTTCGCAGAATCGGTAAATTGCGTCGCCAAAAAATGGTCATAATCATATGCTACATAAATTGCGTCCCGGGTAAATCTGAAATGTATGTGAATTGGTGTCTGGGATATTTCGATTTCCGATCGGCTGATTATAATTTTAAGATAAACATCATTGTTATCTACTGATCGATGTAGATTATTTATTATTTATTATTCAACGTCCCGTGCCGTCGCGGAGCGGAGCGGCGGACTCGTGATTTCGAATTAAAATCGAGAAATATTTGACGCACTATCGCATTGGTTCAACAGTCGAACCGTTTTAAAGATCCCGGTTAAGAACGATTGGTTTACCGGCCGTACGGACAGTGCAGGGGACTCGTGGAACACAACGCGTATAAATAGGGCCAGCGTTTGGGAGAGGCGTTTATCCAGGGCCTCGCGCAAAACGTGAAAGCAGCGATACGCAACCGGACGAAAAAGCCATTTTGCGTAAATAGGAAAATCGATCGTCACGCCGGACATGGGATAATCGAGGACGGATCGCTGGCCCCGTGGTCTGCTGCAGCAAAACGGAAAACGGTCGTCCGGTCCAGTAGGTTTGAAACATTTTCTACTTAGGCCATACTGTATTTGGCCACGCACGACGAGCAACGCATTTCCGGTGAAATATTTTTTACGCGATCGAAAATCATACGGTTAAGTCGCTGATAACAACATCGCCATGATATAATAACTAAGTAACACGGTACAGTTTTGAACACTTTTTTTTTTTTTTTAATCTATATATAACAATAATAAACTGATCTAGTCGATAAACTATTGAAAATAAAGATTCAAACAGCTTCGTGTTAATATATATTTTTTCAATGAGCAGTTTTCTTTTTAATATCCTATTTTACAATTCAGCTTCTATAATTGGGATGTATAAACATTTTATTTCATTTTTATGAGTAAAATTATTATTTCCTTGAATATCAAGGTTTTTTTTTTTTTAACGATTTTAATAAATAATTAATGCATACAAATTATAAAGTACTATTTAGACAGTTATATTGTTTTGTACAGATAATTTCTGGAAGGAAATGAAAAATTTAGTTTAGGAATCCAAATGGATAAATGTATTACAACTAGGAATTGGAGGTTCATGCATTAAAAACTATCAAAATATGCATGCAAATACGCGCCAAATATGCATTTAATTAATTTTCGTTTTTTATAAAAGTAATAAACAAAAGGTGGTGGAAATGTATACAATTTAATTAAAATAATATATATTATTTTTGCTTTAGTAAATACAATTTACTTTTAAGGGTCTTAGCAGGTTTTCAAATAAAAATGAACTACGATTAGTAAAGAGAATAGCTCCAGTAAAGAGTATAGAACTCTAGTAAAGAGAATAGCTCCATTCTATCAACAGAAGAAACTGGCGTACACTTGAAATGTATAAAGTTATTAATTTTTAGATCTTCTGCGGGACCATCTGCTGTTTTTTCTTCTCTTGAAATGATTTTTTAATAATTAAAAATACTAAATAAAACAATTATGGTTTGACAAAGTCTTAGACCCCTCGATTTTCCTGATAACTGGTTCCAATTTATGGTTAATTATAACGCATTTTGAAACTTTAATTTTTTTATGAGACCATTTACAATTTGAATTGCTTCCACTAAAAGTGTTGTACAAGTTTTTAAATATGGTTAGTGAAACCATAGTTTGTTTGGATAAAAATCAAATTTGATTAAACATTTTTATCACATATTATTTGTTTATTTTTTTTTTTTAATTGTCATGGCATCAAGCATAATAACAACTTTTTGTATTGTTTTAAAATGCTATATTGATATAAATTAGATAGTACTAAATTATTTAAGTACGATCCATCATTTAAAACTAGTTCTTATTTTATATTGGCTACGTTCTTATAAAAACATATTTTTCAACAAATATATTTTGAAATGATCATGAAATATTAATAAAAATGAAATAACACAAGTAAAATGCGATAACATACATTAAAATTCAATTTTATTTTAAAATATGCATATTTATGTATATGTAAGTATTAAATGTATAAATTTAAATAAGTTTTTCACGATTTAGATAGAAATTTTTCTGTTGATTGCATGGATATGCATTGTATTTATTGATAACGATTTATATGTTCATTGCTGCCAATGTATTAAAAATTATTTAAATCAAATAACCATTATTGATTCCATAAATTTGATGTAACATAAACATAATCATTAGGGTTATTAAAACTGAAAACTAAAGAATTAATAGTTGGAAATAAAAAAAAAATTGTAGTGTTTTTGTGTCCATGTATACGATTTCGAGCAGAAATATTGCTTTAATCATCATCAAATAAAAATTAAAATATAGGAAATGGGTTCTAGTTGGTATTTTGTGGTGATCATATTTTTATATTCTCAATTGTTTTCGAATATTGAGAATAAATGGAAAAACAATTTCCAAACACTAATTTTCCACCGAGATTGGAACCTTCATCACTAAAAATCGCGTGTTATTTTGGTCCTATACTATTTTTAAATTCGTATGGCTTTTTATCGTCCTTAAGAGGATTGCAAGTCATGATTTTCTTTATTTTTCTATCACATGCCCAGAATTGGAATTTAAATGTTTTCTATTTCCAACATACCGATCGATCTATTGATGCGATAAGGATTTTGAAAACTGATTCTAATTCGAATTTTCCACATTTTTAAATTTTGTACTTAACATACATAAAAATTAATTTTTGTAGATTTTTATGTTTCCAATTAGTTTAATCCTATTTTGTAAAATTTTGAGAGACAAAATCAAAAAAGTGGGAAAGTCGATCTAAAGAAGACTTAATGACGAATTAGAATTAGTATTCAAAATCCTTGTCGTCTTAATAGATCGATCGGTACGTTGGTAATAGAAAACGTCTAAATACCTATATTGCGCGTGTGATAGAAAGAGACAGAAAATCATGGCTTGCAATCCTCATAACCGATTTAGATTTTGATAAGCAAAATATTTACTGTTTTGGGTGCGTTAAATATAGAAAAATTGTATAATCATATGTCGCGATCTTACGACGTTATGGCCGGAACGAATAAAAACGCAGTGGATGTGAGTAACCATAAAACCGTAGTTTGTTAGTTGATTTACATATAAATATTATTATTTGTTAAAATAATATTTCTTCCGTGCTAAAACTAATACCTGCTCGTCGCACACCAGAACCGTTTAAATATTTGCAACTTCTTTGGAAACATAGATGTTTGTCGTTATCCAATAGGCAAAACAACAAGTATCGGCCGTACCAAAAATTATGTATAATTCTATGTCATACGAACCTAGTACAGTAAATATTACAGTATATCAAAATCTAAATCAATTGAACAGCATAAAATATTATCAGAATTTCAAAACAATGTACGACCAAAATCATAAACGATTATTAGTGATGAGGGTCAAACATCCATTGAAGATTGAAGTGTTTTGAAATTTTTCTCAATTCTTCGGAAAAATGTCGAGATTTTAAAAAATGTCTACCCCAAAGCATTTCCTATGTTTTACTTCTTATTAAGTGATGGCTGGCGCAATATTTCTAATCGAAATCATTTATACGAACACAAGTGAAACCAACTACAAGGTACCATTTTTGAATTTTTCAAACTATTAAATCTTTAGCTTTTAGTCTTAATATTAATAATGTTTATTTTATGCGGAATTCATGAAATCAGCAGAAGTTATTTGATTTAGATAAATGTCCATACATTGGCGAAAATATACATTACGCTGCGTCATCGGATAATAATGGGTTGCCGAATGTACTGTCTTAATTGATAAAATTAATTTTTAATTCGTTATTCTTCATTGTCAACATCCAGTTTTCATTTATCAGTTTCTGTAAAATATTATTAAATAATGCGAGTGAGCTTATGCTATTATCAATATTTATCAGAAAAAATGTCTTTTTTTCTAATTATTTGAAATGTAATATCATGGATATGTCTTATGGCTGGGAGTCTTTTTAAAATTTTGTCGAAACGTCACGTCGGATGTTACACTTGTCGTCGTCAACCGAATCGTTAGAGAAACGGTTAATTTTACTCGTTGGTGTTGTGTATAAGACATATCCATATGTAAATGTGTATCCATGTCATACCATGGTTATTCTTTGATTTTTTATTAAATTTTTATAATACTACATATGGTGCGACGAATAGACAACGCGTCATGTAATGATTTTGTAATTTATTATTACCTCATAACTATTCACATAACGTTCCTTGGTTTTTTTGATATCGTCACACACAAGTTTCATTTGTTTTATCGTTTTTTTTGTCTTATTAGTATTGATCTCTTCATCTGCTAAATACTCCCTCATCAAACTTACGAGATTCTCTAGATCTCTTAAGCGATCCTCTTTCATGTTTAGACATTTAACTAGTTCAGCCCTTTCCTCACTGTGAAAAATTCATAACATCGAGAATAGTTTAATTTTGTAAGTAATAACATACGAATAATTTAAACACGAGTTAAAAACAAATGTGAACTAAAATGTGTTGCATTCATCTTACCATATTTCTGAAGTATATTTTTCGTTCGTGTTCAATAACCTACGGACGTCCATTTGCAATTGCTCGTTTTTGTTTTCGAGCTCCTTGATATTCGATTCCAATTTTTCACGCACACACTTAGTAATTAAACAGTTTTCTTTTGATTTTAATGTATTTTGCAACCAATTAACTTTGGATTTCAAACTGTCTATCTCGTACACTTTGGCTGTATTATCTTCTCTCTGTAATGGACAGAGATATAACTATTATTCGATGTACAACGGATGATTGCAGTTAATGAAGAAGCGTGACCAACAATCACATTTTAATTTATAAGTCATTTATTAAATGTAATTAATGTAATTTTGATGAGTTGTATACGTACTAATTCGTGTATTAACTGTATCTGCACTGCAATCACATTCTCTCTGAAAACAACGTACATGTATTAAATATGAATATATTTTAAAATACCATATGATAACGATTCTCACAAGTGCGCCACTTCCTCTGTTCGTGTTTTTAGTTCGTTGTTGATTTCGTTTAACTCCAAAGAGTGATTTATATTGTAACTTTTTAAAATATTTGCTTCGGACTTTACCTCATTATAGATACTGTCCAATTTCTGGTACCTATCAAGCGTAAAATGATACATATAAAAACATTTAATTTTATTTCTTGAAATTCTGTTCCGACGATATACATTTTTTTCCTTTCTATTATTATATAAATTGTAGGCAAGGCTCCAAAACGTTATTTATAAGATTATAACAAAAAATAAAATAATTTTAGTGGATTGGTATCTGTGGTGGTTTTTGTTTTGGTTTTTGTTTTTGTTTGACTATGGGTTACTTAAATCTCGATAATTGTTTCGTGGACGTCATTGAAGTGAGGAGGGGGGATTGCGTCGGCACCAATAACTTAATAGTGTTGGTAATTGGCCCTTTAACTTTCCATTAATACTCCTACGTGCCATTATATTTAACACATTTGCACACATGAGAGCCCGTAAATATCCACTAATTAAAATTTTAAAATAATAATGCGATGTTTTATATCGATAGTAACGTTCGATTTTGGAGTTAAATAATGAATTCTTTTACACCGCATTCAGTAGGGTAGCAAGGGTATAGCGAACTGTGCCTACGCCAGGGGCGCGAATCACAATGGGGTGCAAAATTGTTTAAAAGTCGTATTTTTATCCTAAAATCAAATCGAAATTTCTCCATTATAGGTACTTTTTGAAATATATAGATGTTGTCTATTTTTACACACCACGTGTGAATGAAATTATGTAAATATTACAAGGGTATTTAAATAAAAAATATCATATGAAGAAATTATCGATGAATTTGCCAGTAATAAAGCGAGAAAATCAAATTTACAAAGTTTAAAATTAACACTGGGATAATAACTTGTAAATATAAATTGTTTACTTAAAAAAATTAGTAAAATTAAAGGTTAAAAAGAATATCATAACATCGAATTTTAATTGGTTAGAGAACGTTTTTTTTTCTAAGTATGCCAGGAGTGCTAGCGAGTCTTCCTACGCCACTGATCGTATTTGCTTTTTTTTTTAAATAGTATTGAAATGGTTTCAGTTGGTTGCGCTATAGTTGCCTATAAGCTTTGAGCTTATTGAATTGCTAGCTATTTGAAAAGTACAATGTATATTTAATTAGGATTAGAGAAGAAGAAAATTTGTACATATATATGCAGGCACTATAGGTACGTGCTTACAGTGGCAAATTTGAAGAATTCATTTTGTTATTAATTATGTTTTAGTATTTAAATAAAATTTGTTTTGCTCACTTACCTAATTAACATATATATTAATATATATTTTATAGTACGTAGTTAAATGATAATTCAATAAATACGGTATATTATTTTAGTTATTTAAAGCGGTAATTGTCTAGACCTACACGCGGGAAACATATAAATACACCCCTGTATATACGTAGACATTTTTTTTTTTAACGGCGTGTTTGAATGTTAAAATGTGTCCGCCTATTCACAGCCAGAAAATCACTGAAATGAACGCCTCTGTGTTGTTCAAACACCGGGTAGCTATACTAAAGGTCAGTATCTGAAACTTAACCGCAGTGCCGATTGACAACCGCAGTTAACCACCACCCAAGGCCGTCGATAGGGGGGCACAGGGACTATTTCACCCCAGGCCTCAAAATTTTGGTGGCCGCAACATTCATTGGTTATTCATTGTGTTAATTATGGTAGAGTAAGTTAAGTTTCAAGTTATACATTGTTATTAATATTTAATAAATAATTAGCCCGCTTCAGACGTTAGCGATTTCGGGCACGCTTGGGCTGAAACCGTGTTTCCTATAACAACACACGTCAATCGTGAGCGATCTAACTTTTCTATTTCACGTTAACACTACATGCGCGTTCGCGTAAAGGTCGAAACTCTGCATTTTCACGCGATATTAGAACGGCGTCCGGCGTGTGTGTATTCGCCTAGTTTTAGCGCGAGTTCGATTAAAAACCACATGTAGTGATCGGAGCGCACCGTTACGAAGTTCTTTATTACTTTGAATTTTGATGAAAACGTTTTAACAGTGTTCAAATTAAAAAAAAAATTGCTATTACGTCTATGGGTATATTATGTTTAAATCTGTTAAATAAAAAAAAAAAAAAAACGCTCAAAGTAGGTTAAAACTTGGAAATTAAATAGGGAAAAGTCTATCGATGTTGTATTATTACATGAGCTCCGCCATTATAGCGTGGCACTACTGAGACTAAATTTAAGATATTTCGATTCATCGATCGCTCAAATCAAGTGTGATCCAACAGACTTGTCCGAATATAACAAAGTTCTTTGAACGGATGACAAGTCTGCACAGGTTTAGACAAGTTCTAAGTCGGCACACTCTTGTTTCTTTTCACTTGTAGTCTTATCGCGCGTTCTTTGCACGTCAATTTCGAGCGCCCGAAATCGCTTAAGTCTAAAACGCTATTGAGTCATACAAATCAATCACAAATAGTTTTTTTTTTTATTTACGTAATAGCGTTTGCACAAAAAATACTTAAAAATTATAATCAATGTTAATCCCTAAAATGCGGCACGTAATGACTAAAATTGATATTTTATTAAGGATAATAATTGTTGATTATCAGGCGACACTACGGAGCGGTATCGTCATGAACCGGCCGCGATAACCACAAATTTAAACAACAAACATGGTATTTCTCCCAAAACAATATAAAATATTAATTTCGTAATTTTGTATATTCAAACTATGTAACTAGTAAGTAATAATATATACTAAACACTGTTCCTACCTAAAATACTTGTACAGTTGTACATTCTGTGGTTGTTACCTTTGTAAACTTAAGAGACAACAGTTTATACAATGGAAAAAAAACTGTATCAAATTTACATATATAATTGAAGCCATGAGTTTTCCAATAAATTACGTAGAATCTGTGAATTTTGAGTATGTGTAATTTAAATGCGCATTTCAAATAATATGTGTAAATTTAAAATGTTTTATTTAAACCAATATCATTGTATTTTATTGGAGGGGTCATAACAGCATAACCACCCTTGTTTTGCTACTGTATAAGCCCCATACTTTAAGTTGCTCCAGGTCCCAGTAAACTTTACGACGACCCTGCCACCACCGTCTCGTATACATTACTCCAATTACAATTGATCGTATGACGGATTCATTAAGTTACCTTTCTTTTTCAACAATCAGCTCTTCCGAAATCTTGTCTGCCTCTTTGATTTTGTCGCGCAACTCGTATTTAAATGCGTTTCTCTGATCATACAGTGCGTTTATTTTTTCATCTTTTGCCAGAATAATTTTTTTTAAATCGTCCATTGTACCGCTCAATTCTTTGACCTTTAAGTTTGAATTCAAGACTTGATCTGATGTACTCTTTAATTCGTTCGTTTTGTTTTCTAATTCAGATTTTAACTGCTCAACGTTTTTGTTCGCCGCGTCCAACTCCGAACTTAATCGTGAATTTTCTTCGGATGTAATTTTCAAATCATTTTCTAACTCTTCCAGGTGGACCCCGGTTGTCTGAATCTCTTTGTCATGTGTCTCGACGACCAACTCCTGTTTTCATTACAAATACCTAATTAAATTATGTTTTTACACGGTTCTCGTGTTGATTTGGTTTTTAACCGCGAGACCTAAGAGCTTATAACGTTAACAAATTTGTATAATATTTTTAAACCGATTTGATGCGCCCAACACTGTTTCGTTTAAACCAATGAATGGAACTCTAAACCAAAAAGCCGATAACGGATATATTTATCGACAAAGTGTCATAAGACATGTTAACACGTGCACAGGTGCGATTTTTAAACGCGCAATGCCGCGTTTGCGTTTTATATTACTCGCGATTGGATTAGTTATGCAGACGCACGCGGCAACTTGCTACCGATCGGATCCCGCAAGTCGTCCCAAAGGACCTCGTAACGTTTTTGTACATAGTGCCACGCATACGATCGTGTCGCTTCACCGTATAACATTTGAAGAAATCAAAAACCGACCGAAAACCTTGAAGAAAGTTTTGACGTTGAGCTATCCCAATCGGTAAAATAAAAAATTACCGTTCGGAAATACGGAACGTTGCTGTCAAAACGTACCGTGGTCGACGGGAAAAAAAAGTATGAAATTTTTCACCATTTTCTCGAAGATCGTTAAAAGATGTACAAAATATCATCCCACGTGTGAGAGTCGATCGTCGATGAACAGGTGTACCCAATATCGTTTTTTTTTTTATTTTAAGATACACTTTTTACACAATATGCACAATGCACGCGAAAATAATTTTTTTTTTTTTGATGGCTGAATATTGTGAACGGGTTTTCGGTACAGAAAACGCGCACATGCGCATTGAACGGTTGCGGAGGCACCGCGTGTTCGAAAACCGCACGCGTGCATCGGACTCTAGACGTCGGAACATTCTGAACCGTAAGAGGTAAGCTAGGGGTAGCTAGATTTATCTTAAAGCTCGAAAAACGAGTGGTAGCTGGATTTATCTTAAAGCTCGAAAAACGAGTGGTAGCTGGATTTACCAAAAAGTTCGAAAAACGAGTGGTAGATGGATTTATTTCAAAGTTCGAAAAACGAATAACGTCAGTGATAACGTACCGGTTGTACAATTACTTTTGTGTTTGTGTTCAGCGCTTCGTCTGATTTAATACCACCGTTTATGAACGTTGTCATTTCCGTTAAATCGGCAAGTTGCTTTTGTAAAATATCGGTATTACGGAAATCGGTCATCATTTGGTACGCAGTTATTATGTTGTCCTGAAACGATGGAGCGATGTTTGATCATTAGACATTTCGATTGAAACGTGTAATCGAATATTACTTTGATTTCATTTAAAAGATTCACTGTTGACTGTTGTTTTTCGTGGTCTGACATACAAATCCAATTCTCTTTTATGAACGGCAGATTCGATTTTATAACGCAGCTCTGTAAAGTAAATAAATATTTATAACGTGAAGTATCCAGAGGTGGATATCCTTATAGGCAGAGTAAGCAGCTGCTAGGTTGTAGTGTTTTTTTTTTTTTAAATATTTTATTTGTAATAAAAAAATAAAACAATTCTTTGATCAATATATTTACAAAGAATAATTCAATTTTTTTTTTCAATTTTCAATTTTTGTTCTTAGAGTATACTTATTTTTTATTCATTGTAATATGCTGTCATTAACTGCAAAAATAATCATTATAATAATATATATAATAATTAATAATCATAAAAATAGTCATTTGTACTTAGATTGTATAGTAAACAATTAGGTATAGATGGTAATCGATTTAAATATAATTTAAATATTCGGTAATAATAACTTGTTACGGCGTAAACACTAAATTCCAAAATATGATATTTTTATCTATATCATTATTATTATTGTCATGTAATCGTGCTGTTAGTGCTCGCCATTCGGCGGCAATCACTACCGAGACAGATATGTTTCGTAACTCACAAATAAGGACGGCTTTAAGTACGATCGATGCGTGCGACGGCACAGGATGCCTAAATCAAAAGGGCGTGTGAGAGGCGTTAAAATTAGAATTAAATTAGATCAATTGTTGACGACGCATATTATATCCACTATAGGTAGAAAAAAAAATTTCATGACGTGATTCAATATCAATTTGATTATTGTTCTATCGACATGCAAGGATTGGTCGCACTTATAAGTATAATCACAGTTTTATAAACTATCACTATATTATTATTAATATAAATATAAATATAAAATATAAAATTATTATTAATATTATTATTATAAGTATTATTATGTCTGTTCTATGAATGATTTACAAATATGTAGCAAATATGTACGTTTGAAAAGTTATTTTAAGCATTTTTGATTATGAATGAGGATTAGGTTATAGTATCTATAATGAGGCCTCTCGAGCTTCCAAAATTCTGCCTGTTTAAGTTATATATTTAAGTCATTTAAAATGGAGTATCACCAAAATAATTCTTGCACTGAGCGTTGAGAGAGCTAAAGCTGGCCCTGCTCACCAAATATACAATCCATTATTGTTATAAAATGTTTAGTTGTTATTTATTTAAATTACATAATATAATAAGTAGCAACATAATTATAACTTTTAAAATTAAAATAATGATGTTAAGAAATGTGTAAAAATATTTATTACAATCATGTTTATTTTAATAGCGTAATATTATAAAATATAATGCATTACAAACAGTTTCCTTGTCTTAAATTTCTAAAGATTTTAATTTTGTGTTAACAATAATAGTTTAAAAAAATGATCATTGTGAGATTTAGTTAAGACTTTATGGATGGTTCTAAGCCAAAATGGTGAAATTATTGTTACGAAAACCAAAATAGCGAAATATTATTTACATGTGTTATTTATATTTTATAGTTTATTTTATATTTAAGTTAATTGAAATGTTGCAAACAAACAAAAATAATAGTTAAAAAAAACTAAGATTTTTTTTATTCACAAATTTTGTTTTGTTTTAATGCTATAAAAATATGTAAGAATTAAAAATTACAATCTTTACACTTGTAAGTTCAAGTTATACGCGATATCATTCAAATAATTAGTATTATACGATGAAGACTTCTATATTGTATATTGTGTTCACTATAAACGGTATATATATATATATATATATATATATACGATAAAAGGGATAGGGGATATTATTTTGGGCTCAGATAGTTGTTATATTATTGTTAATTATTACTTATTATACACCTAATTGATTGATATCTAGTTTTATCGGTACAAGAATTATTATAGTTATTTCCCAAAAATATTTGATATATTTTATATTGCTATAATTCAGTTTCACTAAATTTTTTTTCGATATTTTAAATTCATTATTTTTCTTTTTGCTGTTTATTTTTCGCTATTTTTGCTGGACACCTTTATGGATATCTATTGAAATTTGATTTAGGTTGTCGGTAATCGGTAGACTAAATAACTAAAATCTGGGAAAAAAACTATCCAAATATTCAAGTGGATCAAGTATTATTATATTTTAAGTATTTTGGACTTGAAATCCGCCTTTGGCTGAATCACCTTAAGTTTTATAGTGTGGAAAAGATGGGAAGCGAGCAGTTTCAGTTCGCCCAAGACTTTGAAATTTCCGAGACTTTACTGAAATCGTCTTTCTGTACAAGTCCCATATTCTATTTTTGGTTTCACTCTTCTATTTTCATGTTTTTATTGTTTCGATTACGGTAATTAGTAACATAATCGTCATCGCACTACAATTCATTTGTTTTAACTATAATTAATAGTTTCCATTGAAAAATTTTATTTTTGCCAAGCGCGAAAACTGGTCTTTTCCGTCCATTGGACATCGGAGAAAAAGGTACATTTCCCATCAAAACTACTCACATCGAAAATTAAACTTTTAATGCTCGCGCGAAAAAAAATATTATAATGTTTATCGTTACCGTTAAAGATTTGGTTTTTTCCTCATTCTTTTCTGTCCCGTCATTTGAAATGTCCTCGACTTCATTTACCAACGGAGATGTTGCTATACATTTTGATACTGGCTGATTTTTACTTACTACGCATACGTTTTTGGAAGCTACTGGCTTAGAGCTTTTAAACTTATTTTGAATGTTCGTTGCACTTTTCTTCTTGGCACATAACTTCGTCGTTACATTGATCGGCGTGGATAATTGTTCTGTACAATTACTGCTATTCAGTCGCAATATTTGCAAATAATATTATATTATCGGTTCTACTTACTTTTAACCATTGCTTTCTTGTTGTTTATACACTTGGCGCTCGGAATCAAGGTTTGGTTGCTCTGAAATGGTACATAAGACGATTAATTCGATCCGCGTAATTGATATAGGCTCGTACGTTTTAAGACAATGCATATACGTAAAAATTTACCTTCAACATTGGCATTATATATATATATATATGTGCGTAATAAGATTTTTAAAATAATTTATATCAATAAATTTTAATTTTTTGTAAATGTTCTAAAATTTTAAAAACTTTTGTTAAAAAATTGATTTTTTTTTTAATTTAAATATTGATATATTATTTACTATAGTAACGTACCTTATAATATAATTTTTTTTCATTGAAAGCATTTTTTATACTTTATAATATCTTTGGAGTAAACATTTCAAAGTTTAATATAAAAATCGTTACATTAATTTTATTTGATATCAAAATAGATTACCAAATATCGAGACTCATATGGATGCCCACGATTTATATTGTTTACAATTGTTGTTAAAAAATACACATAAAAATGTTATAATTAACCGAAAGAAATATTAAAAAACATAGGGTAATTAAGGAAACCACTAATTATATATTAACACACAATACATAGCTTTTATTGCTTCATATTCGTATAGAACTCAGTGATTAATATATTTTTTTTAACATAGGTAAAATCGTATTAGATACATAACTAGTCATGTATTTAAGTCCTAACGAACTCAAACAATAATTAAATTATTTTAGGTAATAATCAATAATTGTATTAAAATCATTATTGTCCTTAAAAACTTAGCAAGAAGTTTACCGTATTTCCCAATATTGTTTTATTGTAATAACTTGAATTTCATGAATTCCAATACAAATAATCGTTTTTAATTAGTGAAATATTACGGGCACAATTTGAATCCATCAAGTTCTGATCGAGTTGATATCATTTCGTGCCGACGATCATGATTCAATGTCTCACAAAGAAGTCTAATGTCAACAGCCGTTTCAAACATTATATCCTATAGTGTGTATATACACTTACGTACACGATATAATACGAATGTGCATACGCATTTGCGATAAATCATACAGGAAACGACGACGATTAACCAATACATAAAACCGACGAGCACATAACGTTTTGATCTGTCTCTCTTTCTCTCTCCTCCGCTCGGCCAACAAATTTAGTTATTAATGTACAAATGATACCTAATAGTACTAATGGGCAGTGGACGGAATGGATTCGTCTCGAGAGTTTATTGTTTACGACGCCGAATCACGTCGGCTGCCGCTCTTCGTGTACGATAAATCACAGCCACAATAGAAACGTACACGTCAATATCGTTCTGTACTCTTTTTTTTTCTTTCTTTCTTTCATTCATTATCATTTCAAATGCAGCGATCGCCGAGTGAACTTTACGGAATAACAAACGGTTCTATAGAATTCCCGGGACGTCTGCGGAGAAAACACGCGGTGCGGCGGTGGTCCGTCGGCGGTTTATCGTGCGTCATGTTACCGTACAGTACGTCGTATTTTTATACTATTATTATTGTTACCGTTTTGATATCATTACGCGCGTGGCAGCGATTGTTGTTTTTCCGATACGTTTTCCTAAACGAACTGCCCCAGTACGACGAGTACCGTAGCGTAGCAGTACTTTTAAAACACCGATTTCAACCGTTACGGTCGGCGCCGTGTTCAATATCATCTTCCCGCTTCCGGTGGACAACGCTTCCCCCCCCACGCTTATACTTCATCGAAAGGCGGTATTCAAAACCTCGTTGATTTTTCATTACTCGATCACATTTTCGCATTTCTGCACGCTTTTTTACATAATATTTATTTGTACCGTAGAAAATCGAACCCGATGTACCTATAGATCCTTCGTTTTCGTTTCAAAAATGATTTTCATTCATATTCGATCCACGAATACAAAACCATTTCTACGCCTTAAGTCTTTTTTTTCCGAAAACGTGTTGTCCTGTTCGTCGTTACAATTATAATTGCATGCTTATTGTTGTGCACAAATTAGTAAATAAATTTCACCATCAAATAATGGTTAGGCCTAACCTAGTCCTAATAATATGTGCCTACTACATATACGTGTAATTCCAAGAGCCATACATACCGAATACGAAATTAAATAAAATTAAATATTTTACCTTGTATTGATCGAAATATGTGTTATTATTACTGTGAGTTATATTTATTATAATGACTTCCTTTGACGGACGATCGAATACGAGTCGACGGCGATAACGGGACCAAATACGTCTCCAAGGGGTGCAAGGTGGACGACTGTTATACCCAGTGGCGTGGTGATAATATTATTTTGGAGCAATTGCTCCTTCGAAATGTTTGGTAGGTGGGTGGCCCCCTGCCAAAAAATACTTAACAATAAGTATAATAAGTATTACAAGTATAATAATAATATAGATATACCATAACATCATAATAAATGTTTTAAGTGATAGTAAATATTTGGCACACAAATGTTCTGTATTTGATTCGTTACACTAGAAACAATTGGTGCTAACTAATTGCAACACCAAAGTTAACAACATTATTCAAAATTCACATATACTGCATAGATCAAGATACAAGATAATTAATGTCTGTAATAAATTTACTACATAATTAAGTAAGTACATCTGATTATAAAAATCAGTCTAATATACGTATATTTTTTAAATTGTAAATATTTTGTTGTCGTGGAAATGCCGTTAGGATGAATAAAGGGTACCTTATGGTAAATACATTTTTGCTCTTCACCAAAAATTAGTTCAACATGCCACTGGTCACACCTAGGATAATTTCTTACCCTTTTCTACCTCCGCAGGTATTTTAACTGGTGTGCGACCGTGGCTACAAGACTAAGTCGGTTCCCCAAATAAAATTATTATTTAAACGATTTTTGAACAAAAGTAATATTCAAACAACACTGTGATTTCGACGACTACGGTCTGATTTCACATATATTTTAATCAACGATTAATCGGTAATCGCTTTACTTCAGAAATGTATTTATTTATGATGAGCATATTATTTAATCGTAAATACCAAATAAAACGGCTTTCTTAATTTTTTTTCTCTTCGTATTTGGTAAATGTAACACGATTCAAAAAGGTTAAAAATTACGGCGTTCACCTATTAGTCGTATTTTACACACAACTCGCCGTTGCTTTCATGGTCGATTTATTTCAACCATTTGGATCACTGTTTTCCGATTCAGGATTTAAGAATTCGAAAAATCCATGGCAACAACTAATGGTAAAATGTACCATGATAAAAAATCAGTTTTACATCAATTGTAAATAACTAAATGGGAACTATTTAAAATGACTGAAAAATTAATGCACTTATAAATCAAAATCATTATTGCATTCAACAGTTGCGGAAATATTACATTTTATGGCCTTTCAAAACATTGATTGATGTGGAAATACTGAAAGTGGTGAAGGTATAAATAAAGGTAACTTTTTAGGATTTTTAAATCTTTGTGCGAGAATACATTAAAGATTCTTTTTATTTGTTTAAATTAATTAATTACTATTAAGTATAATCAACGGTGTTTACGCGATAATATGCAAAAATATGATTATAAATTATACGGTTGAAAATGTTTTTTTATTTAAAACGTACATTGAACGGTATTCGTAATTTTTAAGTATTGCTAATCATTAATAAGAATAAAATGTTCGTCGTGTGGTGAAATGCGCTCGTAAAACATAATAGCGTTCACTAATACGTAAATCATTATACTTTTTTTTTTTTATTACCATTACCGGAATTAAATTTTTCGAACGGGCAACATTCGAAAAATGTGCTTGCACTAGATCGTCCTTCCGGGAGGGGAAAAAATGCCTTGCCTTGATGAAATTTAACGTGGTCCTGCTCGTTTTGCCGCCGTGCTCGTGCTGCGGTGTAGGTACGGCATTATATTGTGCGGTGGAAAAGGCGCCGCTCCGAAGGACATAAATCAACGTTAATGCGTACCGGCCGGGGACACCGATGGTCGTCGTGTTATGGCGTCTGCGGACAATTCAGCTAACGCCGCCCTCGTTCCGCGACGCGACTTGCCTCGGAAACGTTTCTCTCGTGCTGCCGACGTTCGCCTTGACAACCGTTGTACGACGACGAGTCCGGTGCGACCGATTCCAACGGCCCGGCGATGGGCGGGGAAGGATTTTTTTTTTCGCTTTTTATCATTGCTATCGCGGTAGTGACTCGACGGTTCGGTTTCCGGGGGACCGCGCTGAAATGTCGATTTACAAAGGTTTTCGGTCTGCCGAGTGTTCGAAGAATCGAAGCGGAATAGTAAACAATTCAAAGATAGAAGGGAAAAGTTTTACTGCGTACGATTATGTTCATTGTACATTTATTTTCACACCAATCTGGTTGATTTCGTTAAAATAATACGATTATGTCCAACAATTGAATTTAACTTGAGTAATTTAAGATAAACCGACGGTAGTATTTCAACACTGTCGTTATTAGTTTCACTGCGAGTATTTACTTACGTCATTTACATAATCGTAATCGTTATATAATCGGTAAAGCAAATTTACTTGAGGTTATACAAAATATAGAAATTTGAGTTATAGTGACTCCCACCGCTAGACGAATTATTTAGGATATACGAGTTTCTTCTAATATAACAGGGGACCAAGTGTTTAGTTAGATTTAGTCGAACTATCGAGTGACTACTGTATTATAATTATTATTATTTTTCGCCTCTTTTTTCCACACCGTCGTATTTCTAAATGTTATTTTATTCAACTGAGCCGCAGATCGTGAGATAGTAATATCGTTACGCAACATACTTAAACCGTCCACCGTAATACTGTAACTACAATCTTTTACGTCTAGTCCTTTCACACTTTTCCCCCTGAATTTAGTATATGTATATTGTTCATATAGATGTATGATTATTGTATATATTATACACGAACATTTCGTTCGTTTTAAATCGATTTATTTTGTTACCATGGGAGGACTGTTTGTACGTACTACGATTTCGGCCACGTTTCGGTCGAAACGGTAGAGTTGTTCGTTTTCTCAAATTTTTTTTCGCGTACAATAGTACCGCGAATATCACCCCGATTTCCTGAACCATAGCATTTTGGAATCGAACGGTGATTCAGTACGAGATTTTCGAACGTTCCTCTCGTCAATGGTAATA